AGCATCATACCAAGCAAATATTGCTCTTACTGAATGAATGTGCTTACACCGATCTAGTAGAGGAACAATTAATTTCCGCTTTGCCGCTCTTGCTCTTACTACTGCGCCTGCGCAGATTTAAGTTGGAACGTAGACATTTGAACGGTGGGGGGAGGGGGAGCCGAGGGGGGTGACGGGTTGGATGGGGGTCACCCGCATCACCGACAGCCGGGAGCCAATCTGCTGAGAGAAAAATGAGGTTACCTGGCCAATGAAAATAGTGGGCGCCCGCCGCCATTGCGCGACCAACCAGTCGTCCTCTAAGAGGCCCCAAAATACTAATGCTGTCCCCAAAATGCCAAGATGTCGCATCCATACAAACGCCCAATCAGAGATAATTTATGATGAGTTCTCAGCTTGGTAATTTACGATGTTACTTGACAGTCCCCAACGTTCACAGTGACACCACAATGGCTGCAACACCGATCACAAGGGACCTCCCACAGGTTATTCTCGAAAGCCGGGAACTCTGTTGGCAAAACTCCCACTCCTCTTGGCTTTCCTACATGAGAAGTGTTCACCAGATGCCTGGGTTCTCTGCCCCAAGTGATTATGCGGTCACAGATGGACATCTTCAGAAATCCCCTTTAACGATCATGCCAGAGGAAAGAAATCCCACGGTAGCCGTGAATGACCTCTTCGGGACGTGGAGACCGTTAGATCTAACTGCAGACAGCGCTGCTTCCTCTGGCGATTGCTATCCTCAGTACTTCCCCTACAGGCTACCGTTCGCCAATGCAGGTCTTTCTAGTGCCCCCGGCACCGCCCCCTGTCGCTATAATAGCAGTTGCCATGTTCTTGAAGGAGGGTTGGTTGCTGAGACGAAGTCGCAAGCCTGGACGACACCCTGGTGCGGACTAGAAACCTCCAATTACACATCCCAAGGGCAAATGCCCAGGGAGATCGAACATCATGCACAGCTGCTGGAGTCGAGCGGCTGTTCCGAACCCGACGCTTGGGCCTGCCCAGGCCAAGTCCTCCCCATGGACGCCTCTGTTTCCTTATCCTCCGGTACGTTTAAACACGGCTTCCTATTTTTTGTCAAGCGGGGGTAGCGGTAGCCCATCGGCCACCAGCTATTTTCTATATATTTCCAATTTCGAATGAAATCCTTAGCAATCTTACTCATTGTGCGACAGAGAAGTCCCCTTAGAGATAGATGCAATGAACTTATGCGCTCGTATAAATTATTTAGAAAGTCCTCTTGAGGTCAACTTTGTATGAAATAAAATTTTTAGGAGGACTGGGAATGAAGGTAACGCTTAAGTCACGTTAAGTCACTTTATCGAGGGAAGAAGGCTTTCGCTCTTGAGCTCCCTATTCATTATCCGCTAAAATGTTTGAAAGTGTCTTAAAAACGATCTTGGTATGGTTTACCGATTTAAAATAGTATGTCTTCAAAGAAGTCGAAAGCATGCGCGACACGATGTACGCCTAGACTAGGCTACGGGATTTTGATTCACATTTTTTTCAGGCAATGCTTAATGAGAAATTCAACAGGTGGTTAGACTCGGTCATTTGGAAGGCCAGTAAAAATAAACTGGATCAAAGGGTAGGAATATGAGTACACTTGGACATCGTGCAGCGGTACAGCTGAAAAGATAAGTAAGCACCAGTTAATGGTGGCCCTTTGAGAAGTAGAATACGACTCGATCGCTAGGACAATATGTTTATTCGCCTGACGTTTTGAAATCCGTCGTGGATTCATCTTCAGAGACATCCTCACAGAACAGTAGCAGAAACAGTTTGTGTGTGCACAAGGTTCCGCCGTAAAATTTAAGCGTACAGAAAAGTCGATAAATGCCCTGAGTGTGTTTTTATTCGTTGTGTCAGCCATGACCATCTGGCCTGGCGGGGTTGACATAAGATGATGTAGTGGCCCGTCTCTTCTTCAAACGGCGAGTTGCTTTGGCCAAATTTAGTCTCAGCACCGAATATGGATTTGGCAAATCATTGAACTTGTTGATGGATTGGGGGCCTGTGAACCAAGTAATTCTCGGCTCAT